GGTGTGCCCTTAGGAGCTTGATTAGATGGAGCACAGCAGATGTGCAAATAGCATGGATCTGGGCAATGCTGGTCTTCCAGAAGACAGGAAACATTACTGTAACTGGGGAGTGTCCCTGCATGCAAACTAATGAGCTATACAGATTACTCTGGGACTTGTCAAGTCCAGTGAGGAGAGCAATTGTTTTAGGCTGTTTTCCTCTTGCTTTCTTCTCTTAGACTGCAGTGGGTTGACCCTGGCTGGGTGCCAAGCACCCACCAAAGCCTCTCTCTCACTCCACAGCTGGACAAGGAAGAGAAAATATAACAAAGTTATATTTGTTATAACTTCATGAGTTGAGATAAGGACTGGGATAGATCACTCGCCAAATAGTGTCATGGGCAAAACAGGCTAGAACTAGAGATATCCATTGAATTTATTGCTAACAAAATCAGAGCAGGATAATGAGAAGGAAAATAAGGCCTTAAAAACAGCTCTAGCTCCTCCCTCAGTGGTGCAGGGAGACAGGGAATGGGTGTTATGGTCGTTGTTTCTCATGCAGCTCAGGGAGAGAAGAGTCCTTCCCCTGCTCCTGCATGGAGTCCTTACATGGGATACAGATCTCCATAAACTTCTCCAGCATGGGTCCACCCCATGGGCAACAGCCCTCCCCAGACTGCTGCAGTGGGTCACTCTTCCATGGTCCCTCAAGGGCAGGTTGCTCCAGCAGGGGCTCCTCTCTGCACGGGCCTCCACAAGGTCACAGCCTCCTCTCAGGCACCCCCCACCCTCCCACTATGATAGCCTGGCCATGCTATCATATCAATGCAAACCAAGTTATTTCTGGGGAAAAGAAAGAACAAGTTTTAAAACTCTGGAAGTCATGCCACTTCACTTAGAAATTAAAGCCTGAAAACCCCCAACATCTCTTCATCCTCAAAGCTAGACTATCAATATCTGTTTTTTGCTTTAGCTTTATTTTCTAAAATAAGTTATTTCCTTGGTATAACAGATGAATAGATGCAACCTTGAGCTACAGTATTTGTGAGCAGAGCTTCCTTACTTACAAATAAACCCACCTGACCTTATCTATCCTCTGTGGTGAGTACACCTCTTTCTTAACCTCTTATTTACCATCCCTGATGCTGTTACACCCACCCACCTGCCTATGCTGGCTCTCTGTTATGTACTTGGCCCCAGGTTGGGTAGCACATGATCTCTGGCACTCGTGGCCCAGATTCCCCCAGGGATGAGGAGGCTGAATCCAGCTGCCCAAAGGCTGCAGGGCTGCTTGGAGCCCAGGCTCAGAGACCTGCCTGGCCAGAGGCAGCAATGTGAGTAGCACCATAGCTGTCACACTAGAGTGAAAATGAAAATGCTCTTGGCATGACAACTGCAGCAGAAATTACAAGGGGCAAGGTCAGAGGTACTTGTTTGGTATGGCTGATATTTCTCCCTATCCCAAAGGCAGCATGTTAAAAACCCACAGATTCTCCAACTACTGCTAGGGAAGGGCATTTGTCAAAGAGAAAAGAAACTGATACTGAAAAAGGTCCACTGAGCAGACTGTTTCTTGAGCTTGTCTCCTCCTCTGGCCCAGTCTATTTTTCATTTCTCCACTGTAATACTGGAAATAGACTCTGTGTGAAAGTTGCTTATTTGAATCTGTTGCCTTGTGAAAAGGATAAAAAAGCATAAATTAGTAATCATAGTGGCCCATTATGATCACTGATAGAGAAACAGGCTTGGTTGAAGTATGAACATGAGGACACCCTCCAAAAAGTTGGTCTTGCTTGTGGGAGCTATAGAGTTTGGGGCAAAGCTTTATTGTGAACTCTAGACTGAACTTTATCTTCACCAGCAAAACCTTTACTGCTCATATATCTCACCACTGCCCCAGCCTCTCTTCCAAAATGGGGCATCAGGACAGGAACTGGTTGAAATCTGCAGGACAAAGAATGCCAAATTCTGTGCCACCCAGTCTGTTTCCCTGCTGTAAACTGCCTGCCCTCCCCCTCTGTCCTACTCATTGTGCTTCTCCCTCCTTCTACACAAGCTTAAACAATGCCTGGTTCCAGACATGGGAAGGCAGGAGGGATGGTGTCCTGCAGGCATGGGTACCACCCCAGGACTGGGATGTGTGCTGTAAATCATCTCCCCAGGCACTAAGAGCTTGTCAAGCAAGAGAGCAATCCCTTTGTCTGAGGGCCTCTCTCCACTTCTCCCAGCCTGCTACAAGCTGTAAGCAGGAACATCAGGACAACATGCCCACAACTATTTCAGAAACTGGATATTACAGCAGACAGACAGCTCCATGACCCTCTTTGTTTCAAAGCTGACACTTTTCAGTGTCACATCTTGGGTACCAAAGTGCTGGCAGTGCCAACAGACTGCATTCTCTCACCTATGGGTTGTCCACTTGGGTGAAGAGGGCTGAGTCTTGCCTCTCAGTGTGACAGAAATCCTATTTTTCCTCCCTGTGCAAGCCATGCCATAATGGCAAGAAAAGCTCTGTGGGTCCATCTGAACCCTACTGCCTATCTCAGACAGGGATAGGTATTCACAAAACTTTGTTCTTCACAAGATCCTTCCTCAGGAGATAGATGGTCCTTTCTATGTCAGGGGAAAAGAGCCTTTTCTAAGGAGCTCAGGAGGCCTTTGTCACCTTGGGAAGTCCAGGCTCTCTTTTCCATCCACTTGCAAAGACAGATCCTCCTGAGAAGGCCCCAATTCCCCTCCACTGCTGCCTCAGCCTATAAAAACTTTCCCATTGAGGGTCTGGGAAATAAGACTGGACCGAAATCTTTGTAAACACTTTGGATACTCAAATGTAAGATCCATGCTGCCCTTATGTAAAACTGGCAGAGAGGAGTGATGGTGACCATGAGAATTGTTAAGACCTCCTAGATGAGCAACAGAGGAGTCCTGGTGGGATGGAATGGGCCTGGCCTAGAGCCTGGGCAGGGTGTAACCAAGGCAGGACACGACTGTCCAAAAAATTGCTGACTTAGTGAAATGTAACACACAAAAAATTGCTTCCAGCTACTTGGTGTCTTCCTAGTGCAGGTGGAGGAGAGTGAGCCAGAAGGACTTTTGGCATGTGAGGGCTTTATGTAGTGAGGGATGAAGGGGTAGGATGGTGCTGAAAGAGCAGAGATCCCACAGGTTCTCTTTGATGTGCTCAAGCTGCCATGTAATAAAACTGTCCAGAATTTCAGGACACAGCCCATGCCTGAGATTACTGTCATGGCTCCTACAAGAAGTTATATATTGCAGGCACTTAAATGCACATCCTGTGGACTCCTTCTCCTTTGGTGGGGGAAAGAAACATTTATGAAGTGCAGACATCCTCTGCAGCCATGGCCAACCCTGTGTTCAGCTACAGACCTGTGAGCAAACATAGGGTTTAAATGCTTGTTTTTGCATGGAATGGTATTTTCACCTTAACTCTGCCCTGGCTGGTGAGAGCCCCTGTGCACCCACTCTGCTGGCAGTGACTAGAGAATTCCTGCAGCCCAGTCAGGGACACTGCCCACCCTCTGGGAGAAACACTGCACCAACTAAAGTTTATACATCTTTTTTCTCTCTTTGACCTTTGCACAGCATGTAATGTCTGTTTAAACCTTCAATAAACCTGCAGAAATCATACACACCACTACCAGGAATCCTTATGGCAGGAAGACTTTTGTGCTGACTGGTGACAGAGCTGCTTTGACTGGAGGCAACACCCCACATGGGGAAGTGCTGGGCAGAGGGACTCATCCATTCCACAGAAACATGCCATTATATTTTCTGCTACCTCATTCAGTTGTCACAGCCACACCTTTGCTAAGCTGCTCCCTGTTAAGGATTCCAAAGTTCACTGCTGATCATGAGATGCCCTCCAGTCCCCATATTCTCTCCTCAAATATCAGCTACTGGCTGCTAGGTGCTAGCAAACTTGAAGTTCCTGGTAAAAGTCTGGAAGATTAGTTTTGCTGAGTTCAGTCTTCTGAAGTAGTGTGAGACACCACAGGGTAAACTGAACTCCACCTTGATGCTTCTCCTGCTCAATTTGATATATGGATCTGACTGCTTGATCACAGCACAGATTGGAAAACTGAAACTGCTCTAGGGCATTTTCCATTAAATCAGCTGCAGTGCACACAGCCAGACTGTTGAGTATTTAGATTTTTTTTTTTTAAATAAAAGGACTAAAAATGCAGCTAGAGGCATCTTGAAATACAGGGCATCCCCTGTTAATATCTGTGCTGATGAGAAAAAGAAGGGATTAAATTATTTTCCATGTAATGCATGGCTTTCACCTCACCCCTTTCCTCTTCACCTGAATGCCCACAATCTTCAGGGGGGCAACAAGAATAAAAAGCCCTTTCTGCATAGGCAGATCCAATCACTCCCTCCTACAAATCTTAATCCATTGGACACTTGGCAGGGTTTCAACAAAGAGCCATGGGGCCTCCAGTTCCCCCATGCAGAGAATCTGGCCCTGCTGTGACCCTGCCATGAGCTCTGGTCTGCACATTACACAAGTATTTTCTTCCCTTTCCATCCATCTCAAAAGCAAGGATTAAAATTTAAGAGTTTATGAAAAAGAGATTTGATAGTACCAGACATTCAGACAGTCATCAAACCTTGCAGTGAACCAGTCTGACAGAATAAACGGAGTGAGGCCTCTGTGGGAGTTTAACTGTAGGTATCTTAAAATAAATGCAATGCTGTGGAGAGCTATTTTCTCCAGAATGTAATAATTTTACACCACTTTCATTAGTTGTCTAGAAATTATATTAATTGAATTAAGCACAATTAAAACAGTAGAAATGAGTATGTTGAATTGTCCCCTTGTTATTTTTATCATGACCATGGCAAAGCAGCTTTGAGTCAGAAATGTTTTCAAGGATACACAAAATTTAAACATTATAGCCATTCTCCTTTGAGCTCAGTGAATATAAAACAACATTGCAGCTTAAACATATAGCCCATTCCCACTCCTTTTCCCAGGTGAAGCGGGACATTTTTCTTACCTGGGTATGGCACTCTCCCTTTTGTTACCAGCTCTGTCAGCAGGATCCCAAAAGACCACACATCTGACTTTATTGTGAACCTTCCGTACAGCGCCGCTTCTGGTGCAGTCCATTTAATGGGGAACTTTGCACCTAAAGAGAGAATACATGAGTCTTAACCACAACACAGACAGAAGCAAAGCACCATCTCACAGGTGACTCTGTGTCTAGAGTTAGGATTTCTAATTAGAACAGGAGGATGTTCTTTCAGTTTTGCTTGTGTGTTATTTGAAAAGTGTCTAAAGATTGGTGGATCTGGTTCTGTACTTGAACTATTTAGAAAATTAAAAACATACAGAGCATTACTCAGTCTCATATGTGGGGTGATCTCCAACACGTGCAGGTGGAAGGAGCTGCAGACAAATGTTACCCAACAGCTCCATGGAGTACAGTCAGAGAGGACAGGGGGCAGAATGTGTAGGGCATCAGGAAAGACTAAGCAGGGAAAAGGTCAGCTTGTCCCACATCACAAGAGAAGAATAAGACGTTTTAACACAAGTTTGAAATTTTATAAAATGAAAAAAAAATCCACCCCAGTTTTAAAAACAAATAAGCTCATCCATTCCACAGATAAAATAGAAATACCTTCTCCCAAAGTGTTTTAAATATTTGCAAATCAAACACAGTTACTACATAGAAGCAGTGCTGAGATGTACTGGATATGTACCTCCCAGTTTGCGTGCTCAAGCTGATCAAAATGTGAACAAACAAACATGGTGAAAGCAAAAATTCAAAGCAAATCCAATATTTCATTAGAAACACACAAGGACTTTCAAATAACACTGCGATTTGAGTTGCTTGGAGTGCTTGATGTCAAGCACGACTTTGGCCTGTGATTTATAACTTGACAGTGTATTTTAAGCTCCTGGCACTGCAAAGCCTGTAGCGCCTTAAATACGTGCAGCTCTAATGTGCTCATCCATCATCAGAGCTTGCAGGAGCCAGATGCAGTAAGGATAGTGAGATAACAAACCTTTAAACACTGATTTATTTGCTTTTCCAATCACTGACTGTTTTCTTAGGAAAAATATTTTCAGTATGACTTTAAAGAAAAGTCTTGTGGTAATAATTAACTCACAGTATGTACAAAAAATATGCAGACATTTCCCTGGTGCCTTGTATTAACATACAGGCAAAAGAGTTGCATTGCTTATTGCTGATCCCTAGTGACAAACACTCTTGAGTTTGGAAACAGACTGACTTTGACTTCACATCACCCTCTCATAAAAGCTCCCTCTGCTTTCAGGAGGAGTGTGAAAGTGTAACAACGTGGACAAATCACTCTCAGGGAGTGACCTTATGGCACTGTTAAGAGTTCCCTGCCAGCACTGTTCCACCATCACATCCAGGGCTCAATGTCCTGTATCTTCTGCCACACACCCCAGTCTGACGTTACTTAGAGTAAAAAGTACACATGGTAATCCTCATCTCCCTACTTAGTAAAACTTCGATGTGCTAAAATTCTTTCTGCTCCACATGTAAATGATCCTAAGAGAGACTAGAACTCTAGTACAAATACATTTTTTTTCCTAGGGAGTATTGCAGTTGATCAAATAAGTCCTGCTAAATAACTGGAAAATGTCCTGCTAAAGGATGAAAAAGATGCAAGAGAAAGTTTCAGATACCTAATGCCTGAAGTCAGGAACTTTAGACTAGTTAAGCATCAGCACATCACTGGCTAGATTTGCCAAGGTGCTGGAGGATTTTGGATGCCTGTTCACTTTTTAAAATCTGTCTCTTATGTATTTTCATTGGTTGATAGGTAGGCAGAACTAAAATTTGGGTGCTTGGCTCAGTCTCAACCTCCTTCAATTACACTTCTTTGTGTGACCAACCTTAGCTTACAAGACCCAAAATTTGCAGAACTTCATTTTTTCCTTTTGCCTTGGCTGTGCTGTGTGAGTCCTTTGCAGCAGAAGCTGCCATCACTTGAGCCTCTCTCCTGGAATCTGGCCCTGCTCCAGCAGCACCAGCAGCCACGTGGGCTTGGCAACTGCTGCTCCAGCTGCCAGGAGGTCCTGGGGCTGCACAGCCCATGCCAATCCCAGGAAAAACTGCAAGCTGCATGTGGTCAGGCTGCCCAGGCCAGTAGTGCATGCCTTTAGATGGGCTGTGCAGGCAGCCCTGGATGGGAGGGCCAATGTTCCTCTGCTCTCTCCTACGTGCAGCCCAGATAGTACACACACCCCGTGCCAGCTGGATGAAGGAACAGCTCCAGGCTGGCCAGGAGCCTGAAGCCTTGGACCTTGGCTGGTGCTGGGTGAGATGGACATGCAGGGGGGTTTGGTTGTTCACATGTTGCACACATTTTGTTCAACAATTTTCTTTTTCTTTAATCAGCTGTGTTTGTCTGAGAAACGTAGCCAAATCTGCTCAATTCCCTTTTGCTTCAAACTCATATCCAAAGGTAGCAACCACCTACAACTCATCTTTGGAGGAAGGAAATCTCTTCAAACTCTTTTGTGGCCAACTCCCCCAGTATTTTTGTCTTCCTCAACCTACTGCCAGTGTGTCACTGGGGGATGAGTATGCAGCATGTTGTCAAAGCACAGGAAAATGAGAAGCAAGGTAAGTCCCTGAGAAGGGGGATCAATTCCAGGACAACCCTTTTCCTGAGAGCTAGAGCAGTACCATCCTCATTGGGGTGTGATGAGCACTGCTGGAAAGATGAATGGTCTGTGCTGAGGATTTTCCAACGACAGGACAGCTATTCATTACTCCTCTATGCTGCCCCTGCTGTGGATGATTCTCTGGTTAAAGCAACTAATACAAAAAATCATGTTCTGCAGTTTGTGCAGCATTTCCTGATAGATGACAGATTTGGAGTGCTAGATGGGGAGGGGAAAAATGCAACCTTGGCAGAGAGCTTGCTAGCAGAGCCCTGCCTCATGGTTTTCTGGCCCTGCAACACATGTTGGAGGCTGGATGGTTCAAGAGAGTCTGCAGTCCAATCTGGCAGAGCTGTCAGTGAAGGGAGAGCAGAGACCAGGGGGAACACACCAGGCTGGTCACCTGCAGGTATAGCACATGCCCTGCCCTCACATAAAGAGATCACACACAGCTTGTGTGAATGGCAGTGTGTGTGTTTGTCTGACAGGGATCCTCCAAGGTGCTGCCCCTCATTCAATGCCTGGAACTGGAAACAGACACAGTGCACTGCTGTGAAAGCACAAAAATTCCCAAATGTATTGAGCACTGCCCTGAAGCCTCCTGCTTGCTGTAGCTCCATGGAGTGCTAGCACAGGCCAGATGCTCTGTGTGGCTCCTGATGGACACACAGTTCCTGTGCTTAACTCTCTTCCCACTGATTAAAACCCCCAATGCCTCTCTCTGCCCAGGCCTCAGAAGCTTATTAAACAAACTGATTTTGTGCTGCAAACAAATTACAGCATCAGATAAAACGTGTATTACTGACAAGCATGTTAATAAATCTGATAAGCCAAAACACCCCAGCTGACAAGGCAGCCCATCTCCTGCTCTGAAGGCAGATTTTGCATCAGTGGGGGAGGGATTTCTCTCTTTTTGTTGCTGGAACATGTTTTATTACAAACCGACACATGAGTAACCCCATGCATGGACACAAACAGCAGATTGCATTCATCAGGTCAGGATGACCTGTCTTTGCCCCAAAACAGGGTACTTACTAATCTGCAGCTTTTATCCCAGTCCCTCTTTTTTTTTTTTTTTTTTTTTTTTTTTTTTTTTTTTTTTTAATGTTACAGCCCCGGGAAAGCCTTTTTTGGGTTTCTGCACTGCTTGTAACCACATGAAACCAAAGCTGCTGCTGATACAATTTATGGTTAGAGCAGCAGCCCCGAGCCTGTGAGGATTTTTGTGAGGCTCAGCCCTATTCTTGGGACCTCTGCCTGACTCTGCCCAGGCATTCACACAGGTTATCTCCCAGGAGGATTTCCCTGGGAAAATCAATCCATGGTCCTGTTTTAATTCTTTGCTGGCTTTAAGCGGGTCATGTGATGAGAAGGAGCAGAGGGGGCTGGCATGATTGAGTGACCTTGAGATACAACTCTCAGCATGGTTTCTTCTGAAGCAAGGGAAAATCCCTCAGAGCTTTGGTCTCTTTTCAGATCTAAATCTTGATGAAGTAGAAACCTCTGAAATTCATGCCCCAGAGCCACTGCCAGCTTGATAATGATCCTGTTTCTGGAAATGTTACAAAGCTGCTACCTCTTGTACCTAAAAACCAAACCCAGTGGAGGACTCCAAGCTCTGTGACCCAAAAACTCGGGGCCCGCTCGGGTTAGCCATCAGGGAATGCAGTGTGGCAGTGGATTGCTTCTGGGGCTGGAAAGGGAAAGCTGTAAAAGGTAAAAACGGAGTGCTGAAGCAAGCATGAAACAGGAAACGAGTCAGCCCCGGCAGGCGATGATGAGTGCCGTGTGGGAGGGACCGTGCAATCACATTTTTTGTGCTCTGAGAGCGAACGAACGTGGAATGACAAGCTTGGCAATCATCAGCCATGAGGAGCAGGCTCCGCAGGCGGACCCCTCCCGGGGAGCGGCTCTGAACTCCCCTGTGGCTCTCTCCTGCAGCCCCCATTCCTTTCCCCTCCTTTCCCCTCCTTTCCCTTGCCCTTCCCCTGGCCCCGGCCGCAATCCTTCCCACCCCGGGCAGGCAGAAGGCGCCTCTGCAGGACCGGATCCCCATGGACCCGCTGGCTGAGAACCGGGAGCCCTCCCTGTTCTCTGTTCTCGCAGGTAAAGAGCGAGAACAAAGCCCTGGATGCTCCAGCCTGCACTGCAGTCACAAACAAACCAGCTCTGATTAGCTGGTGAACAAGTCTCTGCAAAGAGCCTGGAAGGGGAGGGGGGAAAACCCCTGCCTATTTCTAGGAAATCAAACTTAAGAAGCATCACTTGTTTTTAAGCAGGGCAGGAAGGAGTTACTTCTAAGTGTTAAGGAGGCAAAAATGATCTGTGAGTTTACAAACACATACTAGAGCTCCCAAAATAGCTCTGACTCGTCTGGAAGGCATCAGAAAGATCCTTATTGTTTCATGTGCGCTTAGAGTGGCACTACTGCAAGTGCTGCTGGTGTGTGCAGTAGAAACATGGCCTGGAAAACAACTCTGCACTTTTTATTTATTGAGAAAATTTTAAATTTGTATCAGCTGCTGCTGCTTAGAATAGTAACAACTCTAACCCAGTGACCCTGTGGAGCACTGGCACTCTCCATAAAAATGCCATGTCCTCGGCCAGAACTCCACATAACTGTGAACCATATCAGTGCAAGGATAGCAGGACTTTGTGGGAAATCCTTTGCTGGGGGTGATGGCAAGTTTCTCTTTGTCCTGTAGGATACCAGGAGTTTTAAGTCTTGCCTTACAGGGCTGACACAAGCATCATCACCAATGGAAGGGAGCAACACTCCATGCCTGACGCTCTGTGTGTGGGGAAGATGTTGCAACAGCAACAGCCAAAAGCAGCAATGGGACAGGCTGCAATACAGTCCCCCAGTGTAGCCTTTGAAATGGGTGTCACCCCAAACAGGCATGTTTTTCCCCTTTGATTACTCACTTCCTCTAAAAGCAAGAGGAGCCAAATGCTCATTACAAGCCAAGAACTTTTTTTTTTGTATTATTTAATGGCAGTGTATGGCTGCTAGTCACACACTTTAAATCATTAGTGGCATGACCATCTCTTTCCTTCCTGACAATTGCTGAGAAATGGCAGTGCAGACAACGAACTGCTTTTTATTTACCTCTCATAAATCAGGAGCAGTCAGGCCTCCTTTGTTCAAACCCAAAAGAAAATAAACCGGGCAGTAAAACATTACCACCAGGCTAAGTAATACCCACACAGGTTCAGGAATCCTGCACTCTGGCCTGCTGGGGCTCAAAGCATCCCCATCTGTTTCCTTTCAAAATATTTAATCAGAGACAAAAGTGACAGTGGGGGAAGGGAGCGGGAGATCAAGCGAAGCTGGAGAAAACCACCTCTTCCCCACGCCAACAATGAACTCTGTACTAACACACTTGAGCCAAAAGAAGGATGGCTGCTGAGAAGAGTGACCAGAGACTTTAATCTTCAGATTTTGCAAGGAAAAACATTTCCTTTCTCCCACAGGAGCTGCCAGTCTGGAGCGCTCCCTGTTCCCCTCCCCTCTGCTGGCCAAGCTTTCCTCCTGTGTCAAAATTCCCACTGAAGCAGTAGTCAGCTAGATAAACAGAGCAGTCCCCAGATGCATCCCCTTGGAGGCTGAAGTAATAGGTCATGGGAAACAAGCAGAGGCAACCATTTCCTCCTGATACTGTGGTCTCCAACAAGCATTGCTCAAACTGAAGCTTAACTAAACAAGCCAGAGCTGAATTCCAGTTGGAAAAAAAAAATCCATTGGTGCATTAGAAACCATTTTTCTCTTGCAATAAATCAAAGGTCTTAACTCACCCTGGCTTGGAAGCCAGGTTAATTGTAATGAAATGTAAATTGAGTGTGTGCTATTTGGTCAAAAAAAAAAAAGCACCCCTTCCTACTCCTTAAGAAAGGGACAAAAAATATTAAAGTAGGAAAACCTTTCTACTTGATACCTGTGGTTACAGCACTTTGGGTCTCTCTTTTAAGGAATTCTGTAGCTCTGAAGGATTTCAGCCTGACTCAGAGGTCAGGGGAAGGGATTATTGTCCATTGCCCTCAAGCACGGGAAGGATGGATGACTTTTCCACACTGGCATAAGGAGATGAAGCCAGGCAAACATGACTCAGATCTCCAGATTATCAGCAATGCATTTTAAAAGCCAAACTAATTCTCCCTTCCCAGATACTTTTTCCTCAATACAAGTGATTTCTGCCATGAAAAAAGGACAGGAGACACCCACAATGCTCCCTCTCCCTGCCAGGCCTGGTGTTACACTTTTCCAAAAGTTTCTCCACCCCAAATCAAGTGATTTTTATTTAAAATTTAAAAATATATACTTCTCCTCCATATCAGTCAGGTAGGTTTTCACAGCTTTTTTAACATGTGAAGGGAGCAGAATTATTCTGAGACATTTAAACTGGGAGGCAAACAGGTCATCATAGGATTTCCTAGGGATCAGGAGCCTGCAGAGATTTGGCCAGAAGTAGGTCACATATTTGTCTATGCAAACAAATAATTAGTCATGTAAAACTATACATTGGGTGGTTTCCAAAGGGAACAAAAGACATGGCAGCAAACCAGGCAGAAATGGAGATAATATAGGACACTGTTTCAAAGCCATTTTGCAGACTGCATCTGCCTGCCTTGTTCAGGGAAAACTCTTCTTGTTTTACACAGGGGAACAGCAAGCAGGCAGCTTTCTGTCTGCCAGAGCCTCTCCAGATACTCTTATTGCTCTAGAGAGAATGACACAAGACTATTTTTTTCTAGCAAGAAGCAATTCCCACCCTCAGGCTGAAATCAATAGTAGTTAAGGCTCTGCATTAGTATCTGTCAGGGGTTCCTCAAGGACCTCACTGTCTGACTGTGAAGCAGGCACCTTTCAGGGTGGATGCAGCCTGTGCTCCACACCCTGTGACTGGGTACTGCCCACAGCAGTTCAGGGGGCTGAGAACAGCTTGAGAGCTGCTGCTGCTCCCAGGGCAGGGCAAGGCATGCTGGAAACTCTCTGGCTCCTTCTGTCAACACTTAGAGAAAAAGTTACAGAAAGAGGTTAGCTGTTTCCTCAGAATTAATGGCAGGGTCCATGCTGAAACAGGGACTTTGCTCAAGAGAAGAAACTCACAAGAGGAAACCCACAAAGAGAGTTCTTGGTGATGTACAACAGGGTTTAATGGGATCCTCCCTGGCTTTAGCACTGAAAGGATGGAGTCGTGTTTACCAACACATATTGAGCAAGCACGACCAAGTACTGCCAGCAGAAAGAGAACAAAGCTGTAGCTCTGCAGCTTGGACCAACATCTGACAACTAAGCATGACTTGTGAAGAATAACCAAAAAGAGCCTGTGACATGGCTCAGTTTGAACACACATGCTTTTTAGAAAAAGCTACAAAACTCTTTGACACATTTCTATAGTGTATCAGTGGTGTCTGTGACCAGCACCCTGTGCTGCACTGGAAGATGTCATTTCTATTAAAACAACTTGGAAGGGGAAGGGGAAGGGGAAAGGGAAGGGGAAGGGGAAGGGGAAGGGGAGGGGAGGGCAGGGGAGGGGAGGGGAAGGGCAGGGAAGGGCAGGGAAGGGAAGGGAAAAGGAAAAGGAAAAGGAAAAGGAAAAGGAAAAGGAAAGGAAAGGAAAGGAAAGGAAAGGAAAGGAAAGGAAAGGAAAGGAAAGGAAAGGAAAGGAAAGGAAAGGAAAGGAAAGGAAAGGGAAGGGAAGGGAAGGGAAGGGAAGGGAAGGAAAGGAAAGGAAAGGAAAGGAAAGGAAAGGAAAGGAAAGGGAAGGAAAGGGAAGGAAAGGGAAGGAAAGGAAAGGAAAGGAAAGGAAAGGAAAGGAAAGGAAAGGAAAGGAAAGGAAAGGAAAGGAAAGGAAAGGAAAGGAAAGGAAAGGAAAGGAAGACAAAATAGAGTGCTTAGAGAAGCAGCTCCATTGCACCGAGGCACAACTCTTAGACCTGTTTGAAATAAAGAAAGTAAGAATAGTACAGGAGTGATAATAGTGGTTAGTAAATACTAGAAGGCACACTACAAAAGAAATACTCTACATACACTTCTCTGGATTACCACATTCAGACTCTCATAACCAGCAAGTAAAATATGCTCTTTGCTATGGCACCATGAAGATCCTGTCTTTGCTGTCATTTCCAGCTATGTTCTCACTCATCACCTTTGTTTCATTTTGGTTTTCAAAGAAAATACAATGAAATAAGACATTCTCTTTAGGACATGCATTCAGAAGTGAACTTCTGACTAAGAGTTAATATGAGTTGAAGATTTACTGAAAGCAGCTCCGAAGCACAGGAGAGAGAGCTGTTCAAAACCACATTCTACTCTTTCCCTGCCACAAGAAGGACACTCAGTGCTGCATTTACCTTGTCTGGCTGTATATTCATTGTCTTCAATCAGTCTTGCCAATCCAAAGTCGGCAATCTTGCATATGAGGCCGTTGCCCACCAGGATGTTGGCAGAGCGCAGATCCCTGTGTATGTAATTCATCCGCTCGATGTACGCCATGCCCGCGGCCACCTGCGAGCAGCAGGAGAGACAAGCCATGCATTTAAAACAAACTCAGTCCATACATGGGCTACAAAACACCCACACCTCAGTGCTCAGAGCTGTGCAGACAGACCTGGGCCGCCATGTCCACCAAGTTCGGTAACTTCAAGGCTCTTCCTTCTCCATCCTTGAGGAAATCCAGCAAACTCCCTGTGAATGCAGAGTTGACACAATAGAGAGATGTTAGGAAGACAACTCAGCAGAATGGAGGTGCAGCAATATGTGCAATATTAAAGACAGCAATGTTTCAAGTTCAAGGGACAGTTTCAGAAAACCCCATGACATCTCCAAATTCTCCTATTGTACTTGCTTCACTCTTGAAGCTGGCTTGCAGAAGAACGTGAACTAGTACAGCGAGAGTTGCAGGGAAAGGAAACAGGATTGTTTTAAATTTTCCTGACCATTATTGAGAAAGTTGATCTTTCCTAACTTTTCCAGTGCTCTTTAAAACTACATAGCTGCTGCTCTCTAAAGGCCTCAGCTAACTGCAAAGCAGCAGCTCAGTTCCAATCCACACAAATTATGGAAGAAGTCAGATCCTAGCTCAACGTGCTCCAAAGGAAAGGTCAGCCCAGAGCCTGGTGAGCCCAAAGGGGATAGCATTAGCAAAGGCTATTTCTCCTTAGAAATTTGTGGTGCTCTTCCTCTAGGTAACCCAGAACTAAATACAGCATGAATCATTAATTTTAGAAGACAAAGAAGAGATGAAATGAAAGCAACTTTAGCAAAAGTTATAAGAGTATCACTTTCCTGTACTAGGGAAAACAAGAAAGTACCCTGTTGCCTTAAAGAAAGAGCCTAGGATGTATAGCTTCTGTCCTAATCTTGTATCTGAACAGAGAAGTGTAGCAGTCTCCTTTAAATAAGGTCAGAGAATTGGTTTAAAAAAATAAAGGAAAAAGAGAGATGATTAAGCGTTTCTCCCTTGATAAATTGTCAGCCTCAAGCTCAGATCCAAAGATGTAAAATGTTACAGAACAAACCAGTAAAGTAAGCCAAAATAAACCCCATACTTCAGAAGGGTTTTGAAAAGTCTTTATTTTTAAAGGGAAAAAGCATATGCTTGTCACTGAGACATATGATTAAAATGTGAGTTACTCAGGGCTTGGATGCCTCTGAGGAGGGAGGTGGGCAAGCACCTGCCAGGAAAATAAAAGTCAACTCCAAATAGACTGAAAGAATGCACTTAAAATTTCAGAGTGTATCCTCCAATGTACAATGAAACTTCCCTGTGAGAACTTATGTTTCCTATTTGGTTCATTTGCTTTTCCAAAACAAGCAGATTTTTTGCTCTGCTCTCAGCACCCTGCTGGAGATCTGATGGAGCAAAAAGTTTTCTTTTTCTCATTTTACTACACTGTTACTAGCTAAGTAGCTTAAGGAAGAGACAAGGGGGAAGGGGAAAGTGAGGGAAAGAATAATATGTGCAAATCATGTATTAAGTTGATAATGGGGTGGACAGAAAGTGAAGTGTAATCCAAGAATGAGGTGCAGTGACAAGATTCAGGATTGGCTAAACAAGGAAACAGAAATCCTAGGCCAACAAGTAAACACTGAAAGATGTTTTAAGAACTCTCTGATGCCAGGATCTGACGAAGCAGCATGTGATATCACCAAACCTAGAAAATGTAAATCACTTGTCAGGGAAGTTTGGATGCTGATGCAGTTGGAATCACTTAGCTGCACCAACTTCTCTTTCCCCCAGCTAGTACAGATTTTCTTTGTGCATCAGGGCCCAGTTCATAGTGGAATTCCTAATTCTTCTGAAGCCAGAGGTGGCTCTAGTTTCCTGTTCCCTCTCTCTTTCCTTGCATGCACCCCAATCCACCTCCCTCTGTATCCCCAAGGAGAAACAATAAAGAAAAAATATTATCAAGCCCAGCAGCTCTGCCTTCACCTTTACTCATGTACTCTGTGACAATATAGATAGGCTCTTCAGATACCACAGCATAAAGTTGGACCAATTTGTCATGTTTTAGCTTCTTCATGATTTGGGCTTCCTCTAAGAAGGATTCTGGAGACATGGTGCCAGGCTTCAGGGTCTTGATAGCCACTTTAGTATTTCCATTCCACGTACCTACAAGCACAGACACTTAGTTAGATTAAAAAATCTTCTGCTCCTTTTTCTGCCTGATGCTTAATGTAAGCAAGGAAAAAAATAGCAAGGACACTTAATATAATTTTTTTTTTAAAGTTTGGTTTCCCATGTTGCCTCCCACACCTCCTTCATATTTTAGTCTTTTTCTGTTACACTGAAAAATAATACTCCCATTGGCACTGGGGCACAATTGCTGATGTCCTACTCAGACAGTGTTTCCAGTGATCTCCACAGAAACCTTCTCTGAGTAAGGAACTTGGGACTGCTGAAACCCATCTTCATGTATTCCCTTGCTAACAAGTAATTGCTCCAGACAACAACACAGCTCCAGTCACAGATTTGGAAAACAAAACTGGTTAAACCAGAATTTCTCATTTGCAACACATTTTAACATTTTGGTTTTGTTCTGAGTCAGATTAAATAAAAAAAACAAAAAAACCAAAAAAACAACAAAAAACTTCCTGAGAAACAAATCCTGAATTGATTTCAATTTAGAAACACAGGTGTGTTTCCAAACCTAAATGTGTCTTTTTCATTCCCCTCCTTATCCCCAGGAGCTGCTGACAGAAAATGAGGTATTCCTGTCCACTTCAGTTTGCTCTCTACTGGTGGTCAGCACTGAAATAGACAAGTTGCATCATTTTTCAGCCATCAGCTACCAAGCCTTCTGGAACATCCAAAAGCCTGCACAAGAACCTGGAGAGAAGTCGGGAAGGCTGACTCAGGGCATCATGCAAAAGGTGGGGCTTCACTTGGATATTAGAAAGGGGGAGGAGGACTGGAAAGACAGAAAACCCAGAAGACCTATTAATGTAAACAGTGGGGACTTTTTTGGTTTTGTTTTGATTTTTTTTTTTTTTTTTTTTTTTTGTGGGAAGGAAAAGGAAGGACAATTAAAATGGGCAGAAATACCCCTTTTCTAGTGCCTTCTGGTTGTCCTTTGCCCACACTAGCCAGAACCCTGCTCCAGAGTCAGGGCTGACATGGCTCTGAATGTGATCTGTAGATAGGGAGCTGCTGTGTGATAAGGCAGAACAACACTAAATTACTTCAGGAATTAATCACATTAAAAACTACTCCTCTGCACTTAAACATGAGGACAGCAGAAAGCCCACAAAGTACACAAAGGCTGTGTCATGAAAAAAGGTAACATGTAAAATAACCCCATTTGTCTTTGTTAAAAGTATGTGAAAAATAACAGGGCTCAGCTGCTTCATGGGAATTGCTTAGGCCAAAATAACTTTATCATGAGCTTTTGCAACCTGCCAGAATATAAATGAGCCATAAAATAGGTCTTTTTTTGTGCAAATGCTCAGGTCCCAGGTCTACCTTGCCTGGCTGAGGACCGCAGAAGAGCAGTGGAGGAGCTGCTGCTCCTACGCTGCTCCTCACTTTTAAAGGGCAATCCCAAATGTCTGGCAGGGCTTGAGGCACATATTAGTCAAAAGTGTGCAGTGCAAGTTGGTTTTTATGATGCCTTTATTTCCTTCTGCCAGTTTGGTGCCAGCTGTCACTGAACTGACTGTCACTGTACTGTCAGTGCAGTAATGCCTCGAGTGACCACCTCTGCTACCCCAGCACGCTTCAGAAGGACTCCTGAAGCCCTCACTTCTCTCAGTCCTTCAAACCAGACTGAAGCAGGACTTTGCTCTAGTGGCTCTCCTGTGTAACCTGGGAAGGATGTGATTTTGCCTCTAATTTCAAGCAGGGTGGCCAAAATCTTTTCAGATGGGTGACAGGGAGCGTGTTTTGTCTGGAGTCACTGAGGCTGCAGACTGCAGTGTGCCATCAGTCACGGCCACTTTGCAGAGGTACCACAAATTACATGAACTAGGAATAAAACCAGAGTTTCATGGGCACCAGACTGGCATTCATAAAATAGGATCCCACCTTGTGTGTTAACAGGATTAATGGTGTACTATCTGTTTAAATAAAAATTCCAGGACTTGTTCTATTACCCTGAATTGTTTTCAGCAAGTCTGTTTTTAAATATTTTATTAATTTCTCCAGTTTAAAAAAAGCAAATATACCAAAAATGTTGACTTATCCTCTCAGTCCTGATTCCAGTTTAAATTCTTAAATTTTCTTTTTCTGTTTTAGTATATTTTTCTAATAGAAAAGTAGCATAGACTTCCCTCTGAATTCCTCCCATATGTAGTTAGTTACTACTTAATGTGTTTTTTATTAATTGTTACTGTGTTAATCTACTCCAATTTGGTAATGCTTCAGGGCTATTAACATATTTTTTACTATACATAAGAAACAGAATTTCATAATTGTAATCATAATTTTTGCATTTCTGACAGCTGCTTGGTACTGGTACTTGGCACTTTATTTCTCATAGCTGATTTTATTTATTTATTTATGTATTACATTTGTTCCTTTAACTTGTTGAATCAGTTTAAGGTCTATGGCACACAGAGTTGACCACTAAGTATGAACATAAACTGGAAACTTGTGCATGCATTCAAGATGGAGAATGAGAAGGAGAAACTGCAATTATCTGGAAATGTGAACAGAAATGTAGGCAAATTTCTTTGCATCAGGTCAACTGCAATTCTGTGAGATTCTATAAATTTCCATATTTCTAGTCTATAAATTCTGTAAATCTCACAGACTTGCTGTTGGGCTCCCTGCTGGAGCACCCACTGGTTGTTTTGGCTGTACATATTTTTGTGTCACTGCAACAAAAGGAGTGGTCAAACTGCCTCCTCAAATGTTTGTGAAGAAACAACATATAGTGATTCTTTATTTGAATTGGTAATTTTAGAGTCTATACAGAACACAATTTGGCATAGAAATTGAGCCACATCTCATGAAATGGCCACTATATTGTGTTTCAATGCTATGGCCATACTAAGATTTATGTATATTGTAAATTGCTGTTGTTTTATACTCATTAAAAGAATGAGGCCCATGATGGGTAAGCTGGCAAGTGTGCAGAAAACAGTGTCAGTGGATTTGGAAAAGGTCAATATTTTTGGACTTCAAAGTGGGGGTTCAGCTGGGCCTGGCAAGTTTTGCCTCTGTTGTCCCTGGTCTCTATATTGAATTACTGGGCTCTGCTGCAGACACAAATTGCAAACAGACTTGAAGAAGTGGATGCATGGGAAAGCTAGCTTGACAATATCAGCTTGCTGATATTTGCCATTATTTTTAAGCTGGGACAGTGGATGGAATCATTTTCAGGGTCTGATTCCATCAGTGCTACAACACACAAGGAAAGAAAAATGTCTACTTACCAGATTAATTTCTGGTTAGCCATTCTGCCTTACAGGTTTAGCATCATTCCTATCTTAATACCTAGCAATTGTGTAGTCACCCAAATAAACCCACGGCAATTAATGAATTTTAATGCCCTAACCTCTCATACCACTGTGTGCAAATGAATGGAAGCTTCCCCATGGATTACTGTATTTATGTTTGACTGTTTCAGGCAATATAAACTAACATTTCACACTATTCTGATCTTTTAGCCTTAAGATCTAGACTTGAAATGTTTATTTCTGCCAAGAGGGCCTTAAAAGATCCATCCAAAGCAAAATATATTCTCTGCCTTACCACGCCACACTTCAGCGAAACACCCCTGACCAAGCTTCTGTTCCAGAAATAATGAATCACGTGCAACTTCCCATGCATCTTTAGCCAATCCAACAGTTTGTGGGGTATAATTCGTAGCAATCACAGTTAAGTTAAAACACAAACCATCAGCTTTCTCTATAGGAGAGGAAATTAATAAAAAAAACACACTTATAATCCAAAATTATGCATGCATTGAGAAAGATGGAAGGTGAGGGTCTCTCAGTGCTGCAATAAAGTTCATTTGCAAACACTGGTTTTTGGATGCTGATGATAAGGACTTCTTTTGTTAGCTTGCAGAAAAAGGCTCCTTGGTATAGCTAAGAGATTACTATGCGAGCCTTGATTTATTATTAAGACAGTGGTAATTTGTCAAAATCAAGACCTTCCAAGGAAACATGGATTTTCAGTTTTCTTTTGCCATCAATTATAGTGAAAGTTGAAGATTAAAGAATTTCAAAGTCAAAGACATGATTCCAAAGACATTTTTCCTAACAGCTTGAGCTTTACTAATTTTTTTTCTTGTGGGTCACAATGTCCTCCTACATTTTCACCTTCCATCTTGTAATCCCCACACAGCGAGCTATTTTAGAGTAATTATTTTGCTCCATACCCATCCATACTTCCCCAAACTGCCCATTTCCCAGTCTCTTGATCAACTGTAGGGATTCTCGTGGAATTTCCCAGACATCTTTGGTTTTGACAGACAGATCAGTAAGCCTTGGCATTCCTTTATGACAGGGGACTACTAAGCGGCAGCAAAGACCTGCAGCTCTCTCTGATGGAGCCAGAAGTGAAGCCAACAGCAAAGGAGAGGAAAGAAAAAAAAGTGTGACATGAAACAAATACAGTAAGCATAAAAACAATGCTACTCACAACAGCTGTTAGTTGCATACCACAAAGCATCCTGGAAGATTAGGAATTGAACACTGAAACATATTCATTTGAGACAGAACAGGAAATATTTTAGCCTCTGCACAGCCTGAAATGGAAGGTGACCCCCACTGGTTTCTCTTGCAGACTCAGGATTTCCCTCCTCCCACAATGCTGCATTAAGATAACCCTTGAGTGACTGGTTGACTATGGTACAGTATAGCTTTTTAAAAATAATCTGTCAATTACAAGCTGAATTGTTTCTGAACTGAGTAAAAGAAACACGGAGAAGATTAATTACTCCTTTTTCTGAAAAATCGCAGCCATGAAAATTTGGTGGACTTTTTGTAGCCTGGGAAAAGATATTTTCCATATTTTCCTCTGTGAAAAAGTGTCTTTGTAGGTGTCATGCAAGTCTGACATTCTTTCTAGAGCAAACCTTCATTAGCATATGCAGTACCATGTCTCCAAAGCTACCCTGCCTGGATCCTACTGATTATGCCTTCGTGTTGCACAGAAATGGCTGCTTCCAGATCTTTTTGTTTCTGCATCTGTGCATGGAAAATATGCCATCCAAATAAGCTGACCACAGGAAACTAAAATTTGACATATACCAATCGGTACAGCGAGGTGGTAAATTATCTTCCTTATATGTGAGTTTTTGTATCTCATTTAGCTTGAAGTAGAGTCACCAGAAACAACTAGAAATTCTCCCAGGCAGCACACACCCATGAGGAATGGGGTGGAGAAGACAGCCAGATGTCTAGTATGAATAGCATAAGAATGCAGCAGACAGAATACAAAGAATACAGAAAAAATGCCCCGCAGAGAAGCTGATTTCCCAAGTAAAAATTATGAAAAGTTTTTGAGCAGCAAGCATTTGGGGTAATCTGTTAATAATATTATGAAAAGCTAAAGTAAAGGGAAAAACCCCAAAGAGCAAATAATTCAAAACACAAATTTCTGCTTAAAAACTGACCATGCTGAGAAACATAGCAATCTTCTGTGTAAGAACAGTTGTCCTAGGCAGAAGTTTGGGGGGCTTTGAAGTTGCATTTGTTGTATACCAGTTGTCAGTGACAACAGGATGTCCTTTTGGGTGGAACAGTGCATGTCACACTTTATTCACAGGAATAATTAAAAAAAAGTTTGGTGGGTGGACACAAATAGCGTGCATAAAGAAACATGCATATTGCCTTATTTATTTAACATAATCTAGATGCACATAGAATAAAAATTCAGTGGGAAAATATATTTAATGTATCTAATACATGCAGAACTTTTGGCCATTGTATTAGGTGACTGAATTCCACAATGCAATTCCTACTTGCTTCATTGGCAATAATGTGCTGCAAAATGGCACATCTTAGCACTCACTTATTCACAGGGAATTCATGCTTGGAGATGTGCAAGTCAAATTTGGTAATTCTGTTTGCTCAGAAAAGGGAGAGCTGACAAAACCTTTAGCACAGTGAAGTGTTAGGTTTTAAAAGCTCTGCTGCTGTATCCCATGAACAGCACTCAAAGACATTTATAACTCTAATGGGAAAGGGATAACAGAAGATGCATTACAACAAGCTAGAGTCATAGATCAAACGACTCTTTAGGGCATCTTACACATACATCAGCTCAGCAGCAAACACTTTTGTTTTAAAATACTTCAGAGTGCCATGTATTATCTGAAAAATTACCTGAGTAATGCTGAACCAGCTGCTGAAGAGTTTCAAATTGTGCCCGAGTTGTGATATAATATCCACCATTGTCAAGTTTACGAATCTTATAATGTTTGACATGATCTCCTTTCATATCATCCCAGTCTCGAATAGACAGGGAATAGGCACCTGTTCCAAGCAAAGGAGAAAGAAAAAATTGCAATTAGCTTTTAGTCACAAAGATTTTGGTTTTCTGGTAAGTTGCTACAAAGTGAAAGAGAAATTGCTTCCAAAAAGCTCACTGTATCCTGAAAAAGAACAAATTAACACAATGAGGTAAGCATCAGAGAAATCCTGAGATGTTCACACTGTGTCCCTTTCACAATGTTCTAGAAAGGTACTGGGACTTCTGTGTAAATGAAAACTCACATTTTAACATTTACTGCTCCAGGCTGTTAAATTGACTTTTCCTATTCTAAGTGTCAGGTTATGCTGCAAATACTGTCCTTTATGTAAATGCCAGTGGGTGGTAAATATCAAGGTTTTGAGGACAGGAAGCTCTGGAGATAATGACTTTATATGTGGGTAGTGTTGTTACCTGGATGGATCCCAAACTTCTTTATAAACAACCAAATAAGCATATTTTGTACACCACAATCTTTGGATGGTAATACTACACCAAGACTGAGCACCAGTTGATCGGCAAGAACTTCACATTTAACTTCCCAAATCCATGTGGGGCTTTAGAGCTTACTAGTGGGATTCAGATGCCCTAGCACAGGGATTAAGTGCCATGTGAGATGCCTCAGGACACGCTGCTTGGCAGTTTTCCCACAGGCTGTCACATTTTTCCAGCCATGTGGATGCCCTGCAGACATTTGAAATGGTTCTGGATGCTCAGGGCCATGTGAGCCTCAGTTGATGGGCTGGATTTAGCTTCAGGTGCAGTGGTGGCAGTCTGCAGATGGGCTGGGGGCTTGATTTATACACCCATGCATAAGCCCCTGGTGCTATGAGGGTGGCTGCATCCCAGCCCAGTTTCCATGAGAGTCATGGCACTGTGGTGTAATGCCAGTGTGGGCACTCGGTGTCTGCAGTCAGGGGCAGCCGAACAGAGCCTCAGCTTCCTGCTGGCTGCAGAAACAGCTCAGGCACCTCCGTGGGGATCTGCACCTTCAGGTGTCTCACTCTGGACGACAGTCCTGTTTTACAGCCAGTGACACACGTGTTGGTTGTAAAAACCCACTTTTTTACAGCATAACGCAGCAAAAACATGGCCCATTTCAAAGGCAGCAAAGGCAGCATAATGCATCTGAACAAAAACATGGCCCATTTCAAAGGCAGCAAAGAAAACAAGTTCTCTCTCATGGCTCAGACAAATATTGTGTTTACTCAAGGGAATTTAAGTATTAAAAGGAGAACAGGGAACTGTCAGCTGCAGAGAGCTCAGGAAGGCCCTCCTTCTGGAGCCTCTGCTGCTTTCACTGGTAACCATGTCAGCTAAGGGCAGAAAAGGAAAACCACCAGCAAACAGTTTTGTGTGACATGAAAGGTGGTCCAGTGTAAGATGTCTTTCTCGGATGAATCCTCAGGAAGAAGCCTCCTTGACCACATTAACCAACAACAGGTTACACTGGTGGGTGGCTGATCCCTGAGGGAGATGCAGTGAGCAAAACCTCTCCACCCTGACTCCAAGGACTTCTCAAATTCCCTGCTGTTTGTCCCCTATATAGGAGGAAAAGACCCAACACTTAAAACAGATTATTCTGGTTTATTTGAATGGGAGGCACCCTTAAAGGAATGTCAGGGGCTGTTTTATGTATTTTTTTTAAATTTTATTTTAGTTTCATGTATTTATTTTGGTAGGGCTGGAGCTAGATAATCTTAAAGGTCCCTTCCAACTCCAGCCTTGCTGTGATTCTATGATTTCTAAGTGTAGACAAATACTGTTTGTTTAGGACAGTTTTCTGAAGAGGCTCTCCCCAAGTCAGTACATTTGTCTCAACTAGGAGTTCAAAGCTTTTTGGTGACTTGCAAGCACATCTTGTGCATCCTTTGTATCACCACTCTGGGCTGTGCATTGTCAGCCTCCTCTCAGAATTCTCCAGGCAGTCTTCTCCACCTCCGCATTTTTGAGTTTTGATCCACTGGCAGCAGCTGTATTTTCTTTAGTCACGCTCCCTGCCTATCTGCTCACTATTTTAGATTCTTTAGGGAAATGTAAACAATCTGTGGTTCCAGGTCTGCAATCAGAGCTGTGTGGGTGGCCCTCAGTGGACCCCTGTTGACCTCAGATCAAGTTGCAGGACTGGAGCTTTAGCTCAAACCTGGACATAAACAAGAACCAAGATGTATTTCATTATTCATTTATTTAGGCTGTCGGTTATCTATACTATCCATTATTCTCTGATGATATATTTAAATACAAGAGATAGAAGTAATAAAAATTTGGGATAGAAACATGACATTACAATATATCATGCTAATGATTTTTTTCAAAAAAGCCAAACAACTAAAACCAGACAGTCTTGAAAGGTGGAGATTGAAACCAGGTGAAGGATTATACAGACAAGAGCTGATGAAGCACCTTGGTAGTCAGGCATTGAAAAAATGAAAAGCCAGCTCCATATAATTTATTTTGAAAGTAAGAAGAGAAGGTAACTATGATCAAGGGAAGTTAAATTCATGCTGAAATCACCCATGATGATACTTCTAACAGGATCCTGATTAATTTTATTATTGTTATTATTTAAAGCAGAAGGGACAATTCTAGGTCATAAAACAATTCCTGCCTTAAGCCCACAATGTCTGGTTGGGAAAGGGCATTTTGAGAAGACTTATGGCAGAACACAGCACTTGAGCCCACCTAATTGATTTCTCTCTCTTAAACAACAAGATCTCTGTTTTCTTCTAACAACATACTTGAACACCCCAAGAATGAGAAGGGAAATAGGCATTTTTTACAATAAAACATACATGTCTGGTTTTTTCCTATAGCTTTGATGCAAACTCTGCTTGAGGATGTAGAGAGCCTTAAGTTTGAATGCAGAGAAATTTAACTTGCTGCTGTAAGTCCATCCATGATGGATTTCTACATTTTTCCAATGCATTTGTGTCTCACAAGAAATTAGAAAAACCCCTGACTTGGCTAAGTAAACAGCCCTGCAAAACATATCCCCTATCACTGTATAAAACCTGGGGAAGCCAGACTAAACTGATAATGTGGTTTAGAGAAACAGTGTTGTGTTTGTTTTTAGGATCCATGGCTGCATATACGAGTGAGTTTTTAAACTTGGCACAGAGTGGGATGAAGTCCTGCTCCTCACACACATCAGAGCAACTGTTGGTGAAAAAAAACAGGTGGAGGCTATTTGCAGAAAAAGAGCAAGTTTGAGCCTGCCTTGCTCCTGGTGAGAATGCCTCACTGCTATGGGAAGCTGTGGGGTGACAAGAAACTGTCTGCCTGGAACAACAGCAAGTCTATTCAGATTTTGCATCAAAAACAGTTTTCAGAATTATAGGCAGCCAAGGAAGAATCCAGTGACTTCAGGAGGCAATGATGCAAAGCTTACAATTTTAGAGGATTGAATGCAGCATCTGAAGATAGGTCAGGGAGAGAGGAGTGCAAATACTGCTTCTCTTCTTTAAACTCCTTCACTAGCCGTGACATTTTGCACGCTAAGCCTAGCTGATAGTGTGCTCTGATCAAAGCACTGACAAGTCGGTGCTTTAATTATGTGAACCATCATTAGACTACAGAACTTGTATGGAATTAATTCTAGTGACTTATGCCTCCCACAGCTTTTGTTTTGGATTGTTGGTTAATTGAGAAATGGCCAGGTTTGTTTTTGGTTAGTTGCAAGTTTTCTGCTCAACAGTTGTATGAATTAGAAAGATCTTTTCATACATGTGAAGCTTTTGAAGAAGATGTTGACAGGCCTTGTGAGCAAAAAGTAAAAGCAAAAATAGCACCCGCCGAGAAAACTGGAACTCCTCCAATATTTTTAAAGGGAAGGAGGAAAATACACCCTTCCACTTGACTTCAGCAGAATGGATACAGCTGAATACTTTATGATTATATTAATTAGAAGTATATTCAAGTCTTTTCCCTGTTAATATGTGAATTTAAAACTGCTGCATAATTTTTTGTCTCCTTTTTTTTGTTCCCCCCAAGGATCCAGCATTTCAAAGGATCACGCACTGCAGATACCATGGGTTGAGTGTGAGTTGTACTTTGGTTGTTCTCTACTTCGAACACTCACCCTAAGACCTAGGATATCCAGACATCCAATTCCTTAACACAAATACATGCAAAAATGACACTTAATCTTTGCCTTCATACCACTGACAACAGTATTTCGCACACTCAGCACAGTTTTTCCCATATGATCTTCCCATTCCCAGTCAGAGTGCCCATCCTACCTTTGGTAGTTTCGCTTTCCCGGATCAAGAAGGTACCTCTGGGGTTTCCAAACGACAGCAGCTGCCTCTCGGCATCCTTTCGGCCCAGCTTGCCAAAGTACCACCTTAGGGAAATACCAGAAATAGTAAGGCAAAATGTGATGTAGCAACACTAAAGAGTGTCACAAAGCCCAGACACAGAGAGGATTTTGTGTGGAAACTGTGCTTACTCAGATACAGTTGACCATTTCTGTCACACTGTGTCATGCTGGAAAGCCAATGTGACAAACCACACAGTACATGTTCCTGTGCTGGGCAGCAGCTCTTTGCATTGAGCCTGTAATCAGCAGGTGCTGAGAATGTTTGGTGTCCTCCAACAAAGGCCAGACTTGGACAAAGAGAGGCCAAGATGTGGTGGGTGGAAGGTATACACAAAGAAAAGGGCAGAAAACTGTTGCTGCCAAAGAGCAGTATTTGTACAGATGTTGCTATAAATATTTTACTTACATAGTGATTTATTAGTACTCAATATTTTTGTTGCAGCACAGCTATAAAATCTCAGTAGAAAGATGAGATTCAACCTTGATGAGATTCTATATGAGGCTTTCAGAGGCTTTTACAGCCTTTTTTCCTTCCTGCAGCAACATTTTTGTGTTGTTTCCCAATCAACCAAGGACAACCTGGAGTACAGACTCCAGGAGTACCTGCTCAGCTCTATAAGCTCCTCCACTGTATCTTTTATACTGGAAATAATGTGAATACACACATCACTCCTTTTCATTGCATAGATGGGTCCTCATTAGAGCTTTGTGTAGGCATTGTGGGCATCCTACCTATCCTAGGATTTGTATTTGTTGATACAATGTGTCCTCTTTAATGGACAGTTTGCACACTAATTGACTCAAAATATTTTTACAAGTTGGTTCAGGAAAAGCAAGGACACCTTTTGGTTAAAGCTTGAAATTAGCTGACAGTTGAAAAAAGGAAGCAGACCTGTGTTCCTTTTGGTTTTCTTCCTTTGTTTTGACATTGAAAAAGCACTGAGCTCGTGCTTCTTTTTTTACTAATTACCTAATTATTTATCAGTGCAGTTAAGAACTGAAATAAATATAATGTAAGTCATTTGAAAAATCGCTGCAATCAATCAAAACCAACTCCTCACACCTCCTTCTAACACTGCACTAATGGGTCTTTAGAACAGAAAAAGAAAACATACTCCTCTGCTTGGATGGAATCGACTGGAGCCACATAATTACTGGGAATGTAACCAGTTTCTCCTGTTGTCAAGGAACGGGCCTCCCACCAGTCTCCTTCCCTGTGGAAACAGAGGTGAGAGGAGAAGTGAGAGCAGGACACAGCTGTACAGACAATGATGTGGCTTTGTCTTCAGTTCTCGGTCTCAAGGTTGTTTATGGTATCTTATCTATAAAATTCTTTTTCCTGCCCTGCCGAGGTCCGTCCAGCAGGACAGTCCAGGCACTCTGCCTGCCCCCGGGGTGCTGTTATGTCTTTATACTAAAAACTACGTATACAATGTTTACAATTACTTTCCAATACCTATCACCTATGTTAGACAGTGAGCTTCTACTCTAAACCAAGCCAAAAGTGCCAACATCACAGCAGAAGATGGTGACCAAGAAGAAGAAGAAGAAAGGCTGGACATGCCTAGATCCCTCCATCTTGCCCCCCTCAATCCCCATTCTAAAAACCCCACAATCTACTTTTTCACCTCGTGATAAATTCAGTATTATTCTACTTAATTTGTTGTGGCTTGCAGATCTTCATATAAGGTTGGTAATTTGCTCCATGGGTCGTAATCAAAGCCACAGGCATTTTGGACACTGTGCCAGGGTCTCTGAGCCCCCTGGCAGGGGTCTTGGCTGCTCAGGACAGCCAGAGGGATGTCCTGGGTCCTGACAACTTTGCTAACAGCACCCAGAACTGCACAGCTGTAAGAAACCACAGCCACTCATCTTTTTATCACTGGTGTGCTTCTGAGAGAGCTGTTTGCATCTAAACCCAAAAAATGTACATATTTCTTTACATCTAGAATTATTGCAGCAGTGATTAGTACTGTAGCCTTTCAGATGCAGCATAATGGCATGAAGAAGCAGAAGAGCCCAGTGTAATCAGGTTTGGTGAGGGCTGAATTTGGACTAGAATATTGAAAAGTGTATCCATAGCAATTATTCTAATACAGACACTTGAAAAAGCTTACAGGAAAATTGCCAAATTGAATGCTGTGTTCTGCTTTTGGCTGGGAACGAGTTAATTTTCCTCAAAGTAGCTGCTGTGGGACTGTGTTTTGGATTTGTGCTGGACACAGCGCTGCTAGCTGATAACACAGGGATGTTTTCATTCCTGCTGAGCAGCATTCCCGCAGTGTCAAGGCCTTTCCAGCCTCCCCCCGGAGCAGAGAGGGGCTGAGCAGGGGTCTGTGTGAGGGGACACAACTGGGACAGCTGACTCCAGCTGACCACAGGGGTATTCCATAACATATGGCAGCATGCTCAGCATGTAAAGCTGGGCAAGAAGAAGGACAAGGGGGGAATGTTTGGAGTGATGGCCTTTACCTTCCCAAGGCATGGTTAGGCATGATGGAAGCCTGCTTTCCTGGGAATGGCTGAACACCTACCTGCCTTTGGGAAGCCATGAATGAATTCCTTGTTTTGCTTGGCTTCTGTGCATGACTTTTGCGTTACCTGTTAAACTGCCTTTATCTCAACCCATGAGTTTTCTCACTTTTCCCCTTCTGATTCTCTCCCTGATCCTACCACGGGAGAAGTGAAGCCCTCCACGGGGGCTGTGTGGGGCTGAGTTGTTCTCTGAGGTTAAACCACAACAGTGTCACATTCACTGCTGATTTTAAACTTCTATGAGCACAATTAATCTGAAACTCAAAGATATCAAAAAGCCATCTATCAACATGGCATTTTAGATGGCCCTTAAGGTTCACACTTCGTTGTCTAGATTCCCTCTGCTGGCCACCTGGAGGAGGTAGCACAAGACAAGGTTGCATTTTCAAATACTTGCAAAAAGCTCTTCTACAACATTTAAATGTGAAGAGGTTCATGCAGGACTATCTTAAGGCAGCATTCTGTAGGCTTAGCATGAATTTCTGTCTTACACTGGTGCAGACAGTGGGACATGCTACTGTCTTTCAGAAAATGCACATTGCTGCAGGCTGTGCAGCTTTAAGAGAAGTTTATTTCTCAGCTTTCTGCAGGATGCAGTGGCTTGGGATTTACCAATTTCTATTTCATTCTCAGCACCAGTGAGAATGAAATAGAAATTGGTGAATTCACCAGTGTTTAACTCCTACCACTACTACTAAGCATTCTCTTTTCTATTTCTGGACTGCTTAGAAACTCTTTCTCAGTTCCCCTCTCTGTAAAGCAGAGACTTGTTCACTAAATAAAACACTATTATCAAATGTGACTGGAGAATTCAGCCTCTTCTGGAAGCAAACAATTACAGAAAACACACTGTCTAAGCTATTACTGGAAGGAAAGGTTGTGTCAAGGTGAATTCTTTAAATGTTCAACTTCACTTTATTTAACAGTTTAAAGGAGCACGAACTCTATGGAAAACAACTAGAAACCAGCTGTGATTAGTCAAAAAGGAGACGTTCCAATTTTACAGTTCAAGAAACATGAAGTGCAAATAGCTTTTGCAGAGGTTGACACTGTTTTAATACACCCTGTGTGCATTAGTATGTCAGGTAAATGGCCCTTTTTGTTTGTGTCTCTGGTGGTGCCAGTGAAGTGCTAACCCTTCTCCCAGATGCTGCTGTAGAATATTTCTGAGGCATTATGCCACACTGAGCTTGATAAATTGTACCATTCCATCTCCTCCTTACTGTGCAGAGAGTCCACTAGATGGAGGTATTTTGTCGTATCTAGGGAGGAAAAAAGCACTCCTGTGGATGCTCCCAACGTCAGGAACAACCCCCTCTGCTTTGACAGAGAAGCTTAAATCTCTCAAAGCACTGCCAGAAAGGAGGAGGAATGCAGGCTTCTTTCACAGCTCTTAATTTCAGACCTGCAGCTGAGGTAGGAGGCAGCTAGTCAATGGGGCCAGACAGGGAGTGGTGGTGGGAATGCTGGGGATGCCCAGTGTTCCAAAGCCCCAAATTCAGGCTCTGATATGAACCACTCTGCAGGTGCCTCTTTCACTCAGACTGCCTTTAGTAAAATTTCTGGGTTCAAATCACAGGGATACTCCCTGTATGTCATTTCAGGTGTTGTGCTGAATGTTTACTCCAAAGCACAAATCAAATTTCGGTTTTTGAAAGCTAAAGCAAAATCCAAATCCAAACCTCTCCAAAAATTCCAGACCAACTACTTTTTTTGCACATGTTGGCAAGCAGCATTGGCAGGTGCTCTTAAAAATGAGCTTATTTAATGTAATTCCTGATGTAAGTGAAGAGAGGAAGCATTCTTACAGAAAAGCAGCTTTCTGGAGATTCCCAGTCTGGCTGTCACTACTCCAGGGGTGTGGTTAGGGCCATGTTCATAAGCAAATAGACCTAACTACAATGGGAACCGAGCTTCTGTGATCCTACAGGAAAATAAATGAATGGTTGGTCTTTTTTCCTTACTTAGAAACCCTTCTTCCAGGCAGTAATTACCTGCATCAAAATGCATGTACTGCAGCCACTGACACGAAGGGGAATCTCTCTGTCTCACCAGCTCCAAGGATGACAGCTCTGTAAGTCCTGGTGAGCACCACCAGATTCCACCAACTGGCATGTACAAGGTATTTATAATGTGTGGAACTTCTTGTTCCAGGTTATGGCATAGTTTGTGCAAGGTTAGGAAAGCACAAGGCAATGTGAACAAAAATGGATCATAGGTTTAAAAAGGGTTTGTTTCCAACCTCTAATTTAGAAGCAGAAAGGTTTTAAACTGCTGCTCCCTCTACAAATTGTAACTGAAGTTTCTGTGCTTTCATCTACATCAAAGCTCTTTGGCTTCATGAAATATTCCACAGAATTACCTGATTTTTAAAAAAACTTCAGTGCACATTGAGCCAATTCCAACCCTTCAGTGGCTATATTAAAATTAACAGGAGCTGCACCAGGGGTGAATTCACCTCATTGTCACAAATTATAAAAAAAAAAGAGAGGACCAATATCACAAAGCCTTTAGAAAGTGACATACTTGGTTGTTAAGCCATTTTTACCTCTACATGATGGCAGTAGTGAACATAACACAGAGCCTGCCACTTTATGCTCTTAGCCAAGAATTACAAGATGTTCAGATATAGGTCAGTAGCACAGTGAGTTTTAGAAGTTATTTTTAAATCGCTAAGGGATTTTTTTTTCTATGGGCAGTTGATAAAATTAATTTTAAGTTGATGATTTCCAGGATGGAAATGTGGTTTTCATGTCAGATGCAGCAGAACCTAAGAAGTTCTGACTCCATCACCTATCTTTAAAAGGACAAAAATGCTTTTAAACTTGGAATATACATCTTTTGTGAATCACCTTTTAGCTCATTTCTGTATAGGGATACTTGCAGCAGATTGGAAAAAGTGTTAGTACATGCCTTGCAGAACCTCTGTAGCTACTGATAAAGTACAAAGCTGGTAGTCTCAGTTCTGAATGTGGGGTTACTGTAAAAGGTAAGCAGTAAATCACACAATCTAACACTTTTTTAAAAGTAAAGCTGCATGTGGTTGAAGTGTTTTTTCCCCAACAATACAGCACTTTGCAAAAGTGCACTAAATGCAAGGATGAGAAAGAAGCATAGAGTAAATCCCCTCCATACTTGAATATCCAACATCAGATTTTATTAATAGCATAAGCAAATGTTATTGTAAACATTGTAAGTTTGAAACTATTAAAAAGTAGATTCCCAATCCTATAACTTACGAGCTGTTAAGTATCTGGAATTTTTCTCCTTTGTGAAAACTCAAGTCATCTTCTGTTCTTGCTTCATAGTCATAAAGCGCCACAAAAAGAGTTACACCTAAAGAAAAAGATAAGTGGGTTATACTCCATCACAAAAGACAGGAGGGAAAGGAACCTCAAGAGATGTTGTGGATAAGCCACAGGTAAGCTGCTCCAGTTGCTGAGGAGCAAACCAAACTGAACCCTCCAACTTTTGAATGACTCTCATTTCTCTGGTCTTAGGCAGCCAGTGGGCACTCCACCTCCTTCACTCTGCACAGTCACAGCATCCCAGGCAGGCAAAGGGGGTTGAAGAGACAGTTTAGACATAACCATGCCAAGTATTTAACTACTGGAGGTGGCTCAGCCCACACTTTACACTCCCTGGTAGAGGGATGAGGCAGTTAGCCAAATGTGGCATGTACGCATAATTTCTCAGCCCCAAGTGAACCTGCAAATTAGCAAAGGACCCGGCTCCACCCTACTTCAATTCTTCACACTATTTAATGAAATAACTCTTCCTAAAAGCAACATGCTGAGACAGTCAGGCCTCTGCTGTAGACACATGACTGACACTAGGAGCACTAAAATAAGATAATAAGATAATAAAATAAGCTCACCTGTTCCTCCTCTTGTACGCAGCGTCCCTGTATGAGAGGAGGAGTTGACTCCACCAAACACAGTCAGTCCTTGGCCTCCTGTGGCATGGAAGTTGTTGTAGTTTGGGATTGAAGTCACACCAAAGCTGGGATAGTGCTGAGGAGTAGGATCTGTCCCATAGCGGTAGCCTGAGCTTTGAGTTAAACTGCCATCCCTCTCGTCAGTCAGTTTTGTTGCTTCTTTATCCTTACATTGCACACAGCCCATTATCTAAAATCCTAGGAGAGGAAGGAAAGGACAGGTGCTGATATGTTGATGCTCACCAGATGTCCTCCAAATACACATATGATGAGGCTCAAATTAAGTTCACCGCTCAAAAGTTAAGTACTTTGGAAAAAACCCTGGCATTGGTTTGAATATAAACAGCAACATGTTGGGAAAAACCTCACACAAAATCTTCCCCTCAGTTTTCCATTGAGGCCTGGGGAAGGGGATCCTGCCTGCTCTTAGGGCAGTGGCAGATCTTTGTCCAGCCCTGACAGGCAACATTTTGCACAGAGGGACCAAGAGGATGAAACTCATCTTGCTCACCCTCTGCCAGGAGATGCAACTGGCAGGCTAAGGACTCAGCCAAAAAAGTGCAGCTGGAGGTGTTCAAGACTGCCCTCAGAACACAGAATCAGGCACTTAGCTTGTGGTTCATATTTGACCTTGCCAACTACACAGGAGTGGACTTCACCTGAGGACAAAACCCTTCTTCCATTGCTGGAGCTCTGCATGGCAGGCAGAAAAAAAGCCACAGTGAGCCAAGAATTATTACAGCAGGAAAGTAGGAGGGAGATATCAGAGGGCACAGCTGACAAAAAAAAAAAAAAAGGAAGTTCCTTTTCAAGCAATACCAAATTGAAGGCTAAAACCACTGGTAGCAGAAGGTGGGGCTGGCAAAGGCACATGTTAAGAAACTAGAGAAAGTCCCAGAAGAATTAACACATCAAATGCAGAGCAACTCCAAGTACAGATTCTGCACAGGATGAAACTGAGAGGGTTTCAAAAATTACAGCTTCAAAAAGGTTGCTCCAAGTTTTTTAATTCTTGTAACCTCTTGCTCAGCACCCTCATGGGGCACTACCAGCCTGGGTTAAACTCTTTTTATTTTAGAGAGTTTATTTTAGCCTCTCTCTGCATGGAGGGTGATTCACCACAGCTCAGAAGCAGTCCTGCAAGGTTAGTCCTGTAACCTGGTGTTGCCTTTCATCTGTAGCTCTAACTTTCTCTAATCCATGTGGTGCTGTGACTGAACTCTTTCCTATTGCCCAAGTTGAACCTGGACACAAAACCTGAGTTTCTGGAGTTGGGTGGGATGAACCTGGGCAATCAGATACTTGTCTGGATGCCTCCTTCATCTGAACCAGTACAGTGACTCTTAGATGCAACCTGGCACACAAACAACATACTCTGAACAGTGGGGTTGGAAGAGAAGTGGCAGAAAAAACCCTAAAAAAATTGCTTAATAGACATACTTTTTTCAGAATATATAAATAGACAGGGAGAAAATGCAGAGAATGAAAAAAAATAGTGAAGTACTATTTGTTTTGCCCCACATTTCTTTTCACATTTCAGACCAATATCTGTCACTTTGGGTAAATAAAAAGTCTATGCTTTTTAAATTTTTGTAATTTTTCTGTAGCTGCCAGGCTGGCTATTTTCTATGCCTTACCCCAACATCAACACAGGAAATTGGTTTTGACAAACTCATGGGATTCAGAAAAATACTGTTTCACCAGTGCTAATGCTTGAAAAATTATGCAGCAGCTCCCTGTTTTTCTGTGACAGTGCACAGTCTGGATACTTGCTTCCCACATCTCACCTGCCTAATTAAAAAGAAAAACACTTCTGCTGAAGGGTATTTTCTGCAGTTTGCAGATACTTCCAGTTATTCTACAAGTCAGTTCAGAAAAACAAGCATAATTTTGCTTGCCCAAAGTGACACCCATCCACAAGAAGGACCAGAAGGAGGATCTGAGAAAATACAGGCCTGTCAGTCTGCCCTTGGTGCCCAGGAAGGTTATGGAAAGCTCATTGTGAGTGCAATCACAAGGCACACACAGGATCAGACCCAGCCAGATTTGGTCTAGGACAGGACACAGCCCTCAGTGCCATGGCCTAGTTAACAAGGTAGTGATCAGTCAAAGGCTGGATGCTATGATCTCAGAGGCCTTTTTAACCTAAATGATTCTGTTTTGCTGTAATTTTATCTTTATTTATTTCCTGGAGTTGTATTGCCTGCAGCTAGCATGGGTCTACGCTCTCTTGCTCTTAGCCTGACTTAAACCTGCCCTTTTGGCATTTCTTCATTCCCTTCATGACACCACATCCACTCAGCAGGGCTCCCTCACCAAAATGTTTAAGTCTTTCGGGGAGAACAGAAAAATGGACTCCTGACTCTTCACTTGCTGCATGGGTGGCATGAGTTGGGATCCATCAAGAAACTAAAGCAACAACTGGTTGAGGGAAAGGGGTTTGCAGCCTGGTGGATGCAAAATACACTGCTGCTGGTACTGCTGCAGCAGCCATGCTGACCTCCCTCCTCTGCTCGCCCTGGAAGCTGGGCTGGAGCTGGAGGTGCAGAGTGTTGTGCATCCCCAGGACCAGCAGCGGCACCAGGTGAGCCACAGGGACCACGAGAGGTGCAGAGGTGTCCTGGCCAGCTTCCTATCAGCTGAGAAAAACTGTTTGTGGAACCAGGACTACTGCTTTCACCATTTCAACAGCAGGACAGTTTGGCTCTGGAGAGCCTTTGTCTGCAGATGTCACTCAGAACTGAGGTTTTCCTGCTCCTCTCAGAGCCTCTGAGAACACTGCCAGGGAGTGAGGCAGGACCACACGGAAGGCAAGAGCCCTGTGGAGGGATGGCTCATCTCCCTGCAGAGCCCAGAAGGCTTTGGGCAGGAGGGATGAGTCTGGGATTCACTGCTTGGACCCTGCTACACCTCTGTGAAAGCGTGGCTGTGATGTGCAGAGAGCAAAACATGGACAGGGAGCAAACACTGCGTGGGAGACACCCCCAGAGAAGGTGGAGGAGAGGTGTGCTGACCACCTGAGCAGCGAAGGGTAAGCCATTAAATCAGCCGGCCTAAAAGCTGCCACATGGGCTTATTCACCTCAAAGCAACTAAGTGATATGCAGGGTTTGCTGTTTAAAGAAGAATTTCACAGCCTTTTTGTTGGCTTGCAGACTTACATCCCTGTGAAACTCTATCACCGCCTCCCTTTCCCCTCCCAGCTCTGTTTTTTCTCCTCTTATTTTTTCCCATGTGCTTTCATGAAGAAAGTAGAGAAAAAAATTAAAGAAAAAAAGAGATAGGAAACATGAAATCTGTGAGACCAGTGGGAGGGAAAGTGGTTTTCTTGTTGCTCATTCACAAGCGTTCAGCTGAGCAGGGAAAAAAAATCCCCACTGAAATCTGGGAATATTTCATATATAAATTTACAACTGCTGACAAGACAACCCTACATATTTCATTTACACACTGATAAGGAAAAAGCTGAAATGATAAATCAACTGCAAAAAGAAAAATTGCTACAAGTTTTTATCCTGGAAAAAGTGAATAAACAAGGGGATGGTATACATATGTACTGGTAGTTTAAAAAAATGGTTTAGGTTTGTATTACTAGGAGTTATATGTATAGAGAACTTGTGAATTATGAATGTCTTGGTTTTTGCTTGCTTCATCTTTTCACTGGCAACAGCAGCACAGAGGGAAGGAGAATTTGATGCAAAGTGAACGACTGACAAAATGGGTTTTTTCTTTCTCTTGTCCCCTCCCACTGTCACAGTGTCTAGACAATTCAAGTATAAAAACTGCTTGATTGCAGCCTCTTGTAAAATGTGACAGAGGGTGTTACATGCACACATCTTTTCAAGCCAAGTCCCTGAAAGTTGTCTGTTCTTGGCTCAAAGAAACAGCATCGTGGGGAGCTGGCTAAATGTGAGAGAATACATGTATGAGTGTACATGCCTAAAGTGATTTCAGCTTACTCAGGGGTTTCATAGACAATAAATATCACCTCCATTCAGCACTGGCCTTTGTGTCAATGAATGGAATCCAAAAACTAATCTCCTTCAGTATCACAGAGCAGGTTTTTAATATCCAAAAGCTTCATATCCCTGCATGTCAGCATTTGGAGCTGTGGAAGGCTGGAATTTATTCAGCCAGCTCTGAGATCACCAAACAAAATCTGGAGCTGTTTTACACTAAACTCTCTAGAGATGAGCACACAATGTTGCTCATCCAACATGCTGTGTATCTTTGAGTAAGGGAACAAGTTTTTAATCCATTTCCACTAGGAAAGGCAGCATTTCTTAGATGTGTGAGTTATGGGTTGCACAGCATTATCATAGTCTGACACTAGTAATGTTAAAAGGTATGTAACTGGCCTAATTAAAATGAACTTTTCTAATGCAAGTAAATTGAATTTGGTTACTTTGAAGTTATGTTTTTGTGGGCCATGTAAAACGTGTTTTTGTGAAAACATAAATCCCCCTATTTTCATGGGTTTTGAGACTTCCTTAGAGACAAATGAAAATAAACATTATATTATTTGTCTCCTTTCTTGCCCTTATTACATTTCTTGGACTCCAGCATTAACATTGCAAGCAATCCAACATGTGTCTAACCAGAAGAGTAGTTTCCACCCACATTGTGGAAACATTTGTTGACAAGGATATAAAATTCATTATATCACTATTAATCATTTATATAGTCAGAGCACCTTAATCACTTTTAGGTAGGATACAGATGAAGGCTAAGGAGATGTATTAACATTATTATTATTATTATTACTGTAAATCATCCTCCTTTGGTTTTTCTTTTTGTTCTTGATACAAAATGGAAGCCAAAACTGAAACACCCAACAAAGCTAGACACCATCCACACCATTAACAAAAACAAAAGCTGTCCTCTGCTAGCTAATCAAAACCTAGGAAAAGTCCAAGAGCAGGAGGAAAATTCCTTTTTTTACACTTCTATTTTAAAAGTAAAAGCTCCACCATGTGATATCTGAAAAGCCAAAAGTACTGATTAACCTTTGCTTCTGCAGTAGTAAGCATATGGATGGGGGGAAGAGTGGTGTAAATTCACTCCTTCTGAGCATCAGAAGTTTTCTCATAAGCTTTTGCAACTCACAGCTGAAAGTCTGAATTATGGTACATCTTCAGAACCTTCTTTTTTTGGAGTTGTAAGAGAAAATAGGTCCTAAGAGTGTTTGAGAGAGAGGTA